AGCTCCCTCCCTCCCTCTCCCGGATCTCAAAATGTGTTGGCATCTTTGCCCATCTGTTCTTGTTCCCCTGATGAGGAATAACTCCCATCCCCTCCGACCTGGGTATCTCCTCTTGGCCCAAGTAACAGGTATGGCCCATAATTACACCTTTGTCTTCTTGTAAATAGTCTCTTTGCATGGACTCCTTCCTCTCAGTCTGTAAATATGCCCAAGCTCCCTCTGTGTTCTTCACATCACTCCCTTGCAGCTGCCATTTTGCCTCCTTAGCTGTCCTATTACACTCCTTGAAAGGGTGGTGACCTAGCTCTAGCTTCATGTTGTGACCAGCTGTTAATTATTATGAAATGATTAAAAAAACAAAACAGAATTCCCAGTAGTTAAATCTCAGTAATTTCTGCCTGGTAGAGATAAGACATGGCTCCAACTGAACGTGGCCTCTTGGAGCTTGCTTCCACTTGTGGACCAGAACCCTCTGGGTTGTTCTAGGTATGGGGAGTTGGCATATGCAGAATATTCAGTGATGAGTATAGTGAAGTACTTTAAAGAAATCAAGAATTTACATATCTCTTCTGTTAGAAAAATGAGGCCATCGGTTACTGCCTGGAGGACAGCATAAACAAGGAGGCTGTTGTCTTGTAACCTCTGAATTTGTTCCTGAGAGTTTTCTGAATGATAAGCAGGTAGGAAAATTCCCAGCCTCTTTGGTATACTTTCCTTCTGCTGAAAACTGGCAGGTGAGTCCTGAGTGAAGATTAGAAGCCATGTGGGTCGAGAGGAGGTAGTGAGAAGCAGTGTAGTTATTATAACCCACTTAGTTTGTTGCAGGAACTTGATAGTAAATCAGTATTTGCCAAGGATGCACCGTGGGTGAAGACAGAAAGGATAGTGGTGCAGAACAGTTCATGGGTATTTGGTATTCAGGTAAACAGCATTTGAGTATTTGTGTTTGAGGTAAAGAATATATGTATACACATAGATCGCTCTGGAGTAGGTCAAACATTTTTTTAGTCTATAGCATCCCTAGGAAATCTACTCTCTAAGACTCCTTTGGGCAGGGAAAGGGACACTCATGCCAGCTAATAGCCTCACATAACATTGCATCCTCCAGCTTCTTGGGGTCTGGGAGGGGCCCTGGCCTTTCCCAACGTAGCAGCTAAGAGAGGACCCTCACACACCTTTCAAGAACTGAAAGACGACCGTTAAGACACATATTGGTTTGGTGAACATATACTGACATTTTTTCTCTGTTGTATAGGCAAAGGAAAATATACTCCCATCTGACTTCTTAGACTAAAATTTCCCAATAGAAACTTAGTTTACTGATAAACTATATATAAAATTATAGTGTGGGTGATGCAATTAATCAGAGGTAGTACTGTGTGACATTATATCTATATCTATATATATATATATAATCCTGCAGGAGCTACAAAGAAGTATAAAATGTGGTTTCTATCCTTGGAGAAGTTCACAGATAAAATGAGGCTATACTTACGCCCCCTCTGTCTGAGCACATTCCCAGCCTCTTTCGGTCCCATAATGATAGGCTGTGTGGCATGGCTGAGTGTTGGTAAATTTAGCCTGAGAAAGCCACGAGGTAAGAGAAACCTTGTGTTTTGTCATCAGCCAACCAGAGGTTCAGCTTTGTGCCCCTTGTAGGAGGAGAAAGCAGTATCTGTACTGTCATTCTTAATTAATATTTTCCTATGAGGTAATTGCTCCCCTAATTGTAAGGAAATTGCATGGACTATTAAAACATAGTTACCAATTTTATTTTTTTATCCCAGCAACCAAATATGGAGAATTTATGTCTAATGTTTCCACATCTGTAATGGAGCTATAGCCTTTAGAGTAATATCACAATGGAGAAATAACTTCTAAATGGTTGAGCCTGCATTTAACTCTGATTGCTTTTAATTGGGGAAATCACAAGCTGAAACAAGTAACAGACTTGAAGTCAGTTAAAAATAAGAATGAGAAAAAATGTAATCTCATAAATCTTAATTTTTAACCACAGGATAATAGTTCCTTTTTCATTAAATAATTTTTTCTGCCTATTCCTCTTTCTCAGAAGGGAACTCTAAGGTAGATTAGAATTGCCAAATACCTGTGAAATGAGTTCCCCCCACCCCACCCACACACCCAGAACAGCTTAGAACAAATAAAACTGAGGAAGTCACAGGCCCAAGAGTTAGGTTCGTGTGGACCTGACATAGTAACCCTATGATCAAAGGCAGGTAGGGGGAGAATTGGATAAACTGGGGTATAAGCTCTTAGTGGTGTTTCCCCAGAAACAGGGAGATATAATTCGGTACATTACAAACTGCTGGCATTCATTTTTTACAAACTCTGTCTTTAAAAAGAGCAACACTTCAGGAGGATGAATAGAACCACAAATATAACTTGCTGTTTATTGTTCCAGAGTTTGGTTTTCATGAATTCTGAGGAAGGACAGATTTGAGGCAATTTTCATCATTTTTAAGTCAACCTCATAGTATATCCAAAGAAGACTATGAACAGATTATTATTTTTCTTGGTGGAGTGATAAAATAGCTTTTTTCATTGCAGGAGAATGCCAGCTTATTTAGAGGCCAGGGGGAGCAGCTCTGTGACCTGAGGCCAGAGTGGCAATGCCCGTTTGCCCACAAGACTTGTTTTCAGCTGGTTATTTCCTGAAAGCTGGTCAGAATCTCAAATTTTGTTCATTTTTATTCCACGTGAAGAGTGGGATTTGTCAGGAGCAGGTGCAGGAGCAGGAACATCACGATGTGTGTGAATGAGGAGTGTTCCTAGCAGGGAAATCACTAACATTTCCTGTGATCATGAAGCAACATGGGCTCCTCTAATTACTGTTCTCTGCTACTGTGCACACATCTTGAAACTGTCCATGACCCAGTTGTGGAAATCCTGTTTGTCTGCCTCACACCCTCTTCCCCCAAGAATGAAAAATAGCGAATTGCAAGGCTGGGCTTGTTTAATGAATGTGATTTGTTTTTGTTGAACCAAAGCAAAGAGGTTTCTGAGGCTGTTAGCTTGATGCTAGGCTTGTGAATGATGTCAGGGTTCCCATCTTTAGAGGGTTTGATATGAAGGGTGTCTGTTTTGCTGGGTGATAACCTGTCCAAAGGCATTTTCTGTATTTTTAAAGGGTCTTAGAATAAAATGATCTCTAAAGAGGGGTGAGGCCATGTTCCTGATTTCAGGCAGAGCTGTATCTATCATGATGCAGACATTGGAGAATCTTTAATTTTAATAAGCACGCCCTCAAAATGCTGCCTCCTCCTTTTGTGGTGCTTTCCTATCCTAGCTGAAGTCTCCTTGTAGTCTTAGTAACCCCTAATGCTGTACTCTGATGCTCTTTCTGGTTTTTCTGGTATTATCTTGGCATTATCTTGCAGAATATCATCAACATAATTTTTGGTATAATGCCTTTTCACTTATTTATTATATATATAGCATTAAAAACCAAACAGCTTTGCCTTCTTTATATTAAGGTGACTTCCTTCCTCTCCACTCCCCTCCAAAAAACTCAGTTTGTCAGAATAGATTGAACATTACTTTTTCACAGTTCATAACAGGAGCTGGTTTTAATAAGAGGTATTGGCTTGCATACAGTTTTATTTGAGTGACTGTCTGAATATATTAATTAGTAGTAAGATATTATTACTTAGTAATACAGAATAAAAAAAGGTCTGAAAAGAGCTTGATTACCTCGAGAAAGAAACTTCCTGAGCATGGATGGTAATACTTTATATCCATTTAGATGCAGTTGCCAGATGATATTACCCAAACTAATGAATAATGACATATTAGTTAACATATTGCCATCAGCAGGTGGCTATTTGAGCAAGGGTGAAAAAGGCATGTGCTCAAACAAATTGTTGTGCCCTAGAGAAAATGTGCAGAATTGTTTTTTAAAAGTCTTTTAATTATGTCTGCAATATGACTTTTTTTTGCACTTACAAAGCCTCAAGAGATAAAACTGGGGGTAAGGTTGGAGAGAGAGAGACCAGGAATCCAAGCCAAAAGAGAACAACATCGATTCAACCTCTTTCAGAAGCTTTTCAAATTAAAAACCAAAATAGAACCAGTAAACAGTTGAATCTGAGCAGCACAGTTTGCCTGTCATATTAAAGTCAGAGGAAAGAGTCATTCTTCCTTTGCATTCTCCTTTGCTTAGTCTCTGTCTGCTTTAGCTCTGTCCAGGGGATGTGGGCAAGGGCACAGCCATGCAGATGGGCAGAAACTCTACTCTGTTGCTGTCTCAATTTCAGAGGAATCCCTGACAATGAAAGGGTTAAAACTGTCACCACCTATCAGAGCTTGGAGATAATTAGCATTCTGCCAGTTCCTGAACACTGACCCAAATGACCGCACAACAGCAAATGAATTCTACCAAATCCTGATTAATCTCTTTCCAGCTCATGTGCAACTATGCTTTTTTAAGTGCCTATGTGAAAAAGTTATGATTTGTGCATAGAAATGATTATGATTAAAAAGGACTCTGAGTCTTCTTTATTTCAGAAGGTGCATTTTGAATTAGCACTTGCCGCTCCAAGTTGAATATAACTGTACCCTCCTAGCGTGAGACAAGTAGCCTTTAGAATGTCTCGCAGTGTGTTGACTGTTACTCTATTACTGTGGATGCTGAAGTGTAGTAGTGAGTGATATGACTTAGGAAGGCAAACTATTCCAAGATATGCTTGATTTAGTTTTTGTTTTTACTTTCCTTTTCTTGTAAGAAACACAAAAGGAAAAATAAGCAGAACTTTTTTAAGCAAAACATAGGCTTGAGAAGTATGAAATACATTTTTCACTCAATTAGCTTTGAAAAGAAACTCGATAGATGATAAAGCAGAGGCTTCAAGCTCTTTTTCTAACATCTGTTTGGTAATCAGAAAAGGACTAGTATGGTTGGAAATTAGAGCAGGAATCCATGATGAACTAGGGGAAGGATGGTAAAGAGAACTTAAATAACCCAGATATGTTCAAATCCACAGGTCCCAATGGCTGGCATCCTAGAGTACTTAATGAATTGGCCGAAGTCATCACAGAACTGCTAGATATCATTTGTGGGAACTCGTGGAGGACTGATGAGGTGCCTGAAGACTGGAAAAGGGCATATTTAGAAACTTCTTTCAAAAAGGGACATGGATGCTGACCCTGGAAATGCTCATCAGCTTAACTTTTTGCTTGGAAAAATTCTGGAATAATCAACTTAGTGCACTGGGTAACTAACTTGTAAGAGCTAGAAATGAGGCCATGAAATACCACAGATGAAGTGCCGAGTTCATTTTTAAAAGACATACCATTGCAAGATACAGTCTTATGCATATTTTGTGATTCTCCCCTCTATTCTATGAATTCTTGATGAAAGTAAATGAGGTTGGCTAAGGCATCTGAGTAATAACAATTTTAAGTGTAATGCAAGACAAAAAGCAGGTTTCTGGCAGTAGCTAATAATTACATCATTTCCAGGTGAGCCTTTAATTTGAGAATAGTAGCTTTACTTTCATATTTTAGCATACATTTTTTTTACTTTATAGGGACCCCTGTTTTAATAGGTTGTGATATTTTATATAATTCTATGAAGAATAGTTTGGTGAGGAAACTCTTTTGTTAAGGTACTTTCTATAGCTATTTCATATAAAACTACAATCATAAAGCTAATCAATTAAGAAACATAACCAAGGGAAGAACATTTTTTCCCCGTCAATTTAATCTGGCTCAAGTTCAATATTAAGACCAACAAGAGTGTCTTGCTCTGACTGAGCTGAGCAAGAAGCAGCTATTTACCTTGATGGCTAGTTTTCTTCTCTGCCTGGAGACTTGTGGATACTTTATCTCACTCCCCAGGTTTCCTACTTCAGGCCTGAAGTGGGGCATGGAGGTGGGCAGTGGCAGTGGGCATTAAGAGCCCCTGTATAGCCACAGCTAAAAAGGAGAGTAGAATGAAATGGGAAGAGGAAATTAAGACGAATCTGGAGTTTTTCTAATTACTATTGCTCTTGCCTTTGGTGTTTACTTTTACTTTCTGCTTAGAAAACACAGCCATGTTGATGAGACCCAAAATTTAGTTGAAAAGAGATCTTCAGAGAAGATACAGACATGCAACAGCTTTTGAGAGCTTCTGAGCAATATTGTATTACAGAATCTCCCTACACAACTTTAAAGTACATAGGAGATGTAAGGTCACATCAGCATTGTGATGCTCAGAGTAAGAAAGTTTCAGAGGAAAAGAAATTGACATTCATTTCTTCCTGGTGGTTACTGCTCTTTAGGAATGGGTAGGCAGTTAAGGTCTCCAAGGATGATTTTTATCACAATACTGCTTTAAAAACCTAAGGTTTGCATAATTTAGCTACCTCTAGAGATTAATTTAGACATGGGGTAAAATCAGTCTCAACCTTAAATACATATGCAAGGAAACTAAACTCTAAAAGCATGTAAAAACTGTCCTTTAAAGTCTACATAGCTTGCAGTTTCATAAGGATCTACTCCAGTCAACCTTTTGTCATTTTTTTTTCAAGGGAATAATGTCTTTAAGATTTCCAGCTGGGTTTCTTTTTGAGTGGGGGGATCTGTATAGATTCTAGATGTAATTTATTGTGATAATAAATGGCTTCCTGTGCATCATTTCCAGGTGCAGCATCTTTGGCAGATTTATTTTACAGATGTACATTTACATGCATTTGTTGAATGAACTGTTACTAGAAAGGACCCAATTTATGAAAAATCCATTATTTTCACCACGGGCATTATGCATGCAAACAAATCTACTGCAACCAAAACAAAAAGGACTCTGGTCATTTCAAGTTCCATTTTCTATTTGTGTAAAGTCTAACTTCTGTCATCTTGCCAAATTCAAATCTTCTCTTGGTATCTACTGTTGGATTTTAAAAATAACAATCCTCTACCTACATTAAGAGTCACAATCAAGAAGGGTGAAATAGCCAGTGGATTTTTAAAGACGTCTTGCCTGAAGCTGGCAGAAGGAAAAAACTAAGCAGAGAAGTATTGAAGGAAGCCCATTAATGCTTTTGCATTAAATCAAGATGAGGTGAGAGAATATAAGAGAAAGGAAGTAAGCAGTCTTACCATGAATTATATGTGGAAATAATTATTCTTAAGAGTGATTTTTTCACAGCGTTTTTTCTTTTATCTAACATTCATGATATCCTTAATTTTTTAAGGTAAATGAAGTAGCTGAGGGATGGATATGTTATCAAAACTAGAGGATTATCTTGACTTACACTTCCTGGAACATCAAGAGAGATTCATGACACTTTTACCTTGACCTATTGAGGGATCTGGAGGGTTGTAGCAAAACCTTTTTCAGTTCATCTTAAAACTTAGTTTTTGGAGTTGAGGAAAGGTTTTATTCACATAAAACATTTCTCGGCGTAGGGACTGCATAAGGCTTCTGCTCACCAAAGGCAGCTACAGCCACATGGAAGAGCTGCACTCAGGCAATTTCTCAATCCAGAGAAAATTACAGCGCCTTGGTGTTGTGAAATCAGCAACAAAAACAGTAAGAATTGAGGTTTTACTTTGGGGTTGCCCGGATTTCAGTTCAAATTCTAGCATCATGTGGGTGACTTTTTCCTGTAGTGAATCTGTTAAAAATCTAAGCTGCCGTGTAGCATGGACAGTGATCTTCAACAGCTTTTAAACTCATCAGAGCTTTCTATTCTGGCCCATAAACTGGGAAAAAGAAATACCTCCTATAGTAAGAGGCTTGAGAGTTCTGCAGCGTATGCGCACACAGCTCCTGGTCCGGTGCTTGACACGGGGTAGGTGCTGAGCGCTTCTCCCTTTCCTTCCTTACTCTCAGTTGCCTTTGTTTCTTCTTACGGGAAAGAGATTACCTTAACACTGACCAGAAGAGTCAAGCATAAATTGATGTGTCCTTATGGCTGCCTTAGACCCACAGAATAAGGTCCCTCTGCTTTCTTGTAGGAATGACAAAAAGGTCCCAGTGGCAGCTTGTAGCAGGAGTTCAGTTCAGTGCGCACTGATTGAATGAAGAGTGTGATTTTTAAAAACAATGAGCAAATTCGTAAGGCCAGTGCTTTTCAAATCTGGGAAAATAGTCACATAGACATCCATGAAGGTATTTCCTTAATTTCCTCTTTTTGGAATAGCTGTAGATTTATGAAGTTGATGTGCAAGTTAGTGGCATATGTGCATTTTCCTGGTTTTATGACTGTGATTTACAAGTTAGCCATGTAAATGGGCACTCCCCCATTGCTGCTTGCTCCTCCTGGGGTGAAACCAGAGGTACCAGTGCTGGGAAGCCCCTGCCACAGAACTGAGATGATCATCTGGGTCACTCTCCGTACAGGGTCTGAGTGTTGAACCCGGTGCCTTGCATGGGCATGGAAGAATAACACAAAGAGAGGTTAAAGAAAATTAAATTCTTGGACAAAATATTTGGTTTATATAAATATTTATGTGCAATATTTAATTAGGTATCAAAATAGCATGTTCAAGCAGGTGGAAGATTTCTGAATTGCAAAGTAAATAAGGAATAAAGAGTAGAATGTTATATCTAGAGACACTCAAGAAACGAGCCAGAACCTGAACTTAAATTGCCAATTCTCTCTTCAGACCAAGGGCCAAGTAATAGGAAATTCTCATGAGAGATCAGCTGACAACTTGTGCTTAGAATAAAACCATAGCAGAGGCTATATTAAGTAAAGTAAGTTGTGCAGAGCAAAGCAAATCAGCTAGGCCTTCTCTTTAAGAATTTTCTAGCTTTACTCTTATTACTGATCTCAGTGGTCATCAATAGATATTCCTACATCAGATGCTTTACACTATCAGATTCTTTGATTAGAAATCCTCTTCAGCTTTTATATTATTAGTCTCTAAAGAGATAAAATCAAGTAATATTTACTCCAGTGATTACTATTTTAGATGCTTCCATAAATGGCAAAAAGAAAAAAAAAAGAATAGTAGTTCAGAAGAAGGAACAATATAACTTTTTAAACTTATCGCAGTAGAAATTTTCTTTTAAATTGTTTAAATTCCTGGAAATGAAGTTTTGTGTCTTATTGTTGTTAAAAGATTAAGTTTCAGAAGAAAACGGACAGTTAAATACCACTTCAAGTGTTGGGTGGTATCTTTCTCACAATGTGGCCAAAAATTCTTCCACTGAAACGAGAGGAAGTCAACTTTTAAACATTATTTAAGATGAGAAATGACTTTTATAGATGTACTCTGTATCATGCCCTTTGTCCAGTGAATTTTTCCTTATTATTCCAAAACTGAAATGCTGTATTTATTATCTTGAGGGCTAAGTGGTTTATTGATTGGAGCAAATGTTAGAAATTCTGTTATTCATACAATCGTTGCCCTGTTCCCTAAGCTTGACAATATTATGAGATATTATTTGGTCTACTTAAGGCTCTTATTTATTGAGAAGTTCTGCCCATACAGAAATGTGTGCATGGACCTGAAAAATGAATATGTGCATTCTAGTAGCTGAGCACAGATTCATTCTGAATGAAAGCTGCGATTTGGTTTTATAAATGTAATTGCAACTGACACTCTTTTTTCCTTTCAGTTATTGTTTTAGAAAGGGACTCTGTGAGAGGCACTGTGAAAAGCTTAATTAGAACAGCATTATGAACCATGGATTGTATGCCCGTGCAGAGCTGTGATTTGCAAACATATGTCTGCTCTTCAATAAATGTTATGGCTTTCACAGCAGTTCCGCCTTGGCCTCTTTTGTAATTGTTTACATTCCAATGAATGGGATAGGGTATGTGTGCTGTTTAAATTTATGATATATAAATGTTTATGGTACTGTAGCATTATCATTAGCATGGGAAATCAGAGTTCTAACTCAACAGAAAGGAGACAGCAAGGCTGTCTGCTCTGCTGGCAAAATTCAAATAGGTCATCATGATGTGTGCTTGTATGTTTCTGTGTGACTGTTCCATATGTACATGTGACTTTCAACCTTTCCCCCCACCCCACTTCCGATGAAAATAATAGTCCTGAGGGTGATAGAAAGTGATACTGTGCCAGTAATTGTGTTCCCCACCCCGAGGATGGCAGGATGTATTGGGTGGTAGGCAGGGTCATCTGTGGAGTTTCTTCTGAATATCCATCATCCAAAGACTTGTGATTCCACGACAGATAAGTGGCATTGCAGTGGGCATTAGAGCTAGTGTCTACTGGGTTTGAATCTCAGCTTGACCGTTTTCTGACTTCAGGATCTTGAGCAAATGGAATAACTGTAAATGCTTAGCGCACAATAAGCAGCCCCAAATCATTCATCTGCAAGTTTTTAGATAGTGTTTTGGGTTATGTTTAAGTAGCATCATGTGATATGATTTGATGATGATGAATGACAGTTTTTATTCCCGCTGAATGCAAGATGAGAGGAAGGCAAACTTAAAGCAAGAAAACCATAAAGTAAATATTAGGGAAGAAATATGTAAAAACGATAATTTTAGAAATGAAAAGGGACCCTAGGATAACTTAATATGATTCAGAAATTGTGTAGTTCAGACGCTGAGGAGCCCAGTGTTTGTGGCCTGCCTACGATCACACAGTGGGTTAGTCACAAATAGATGAGGTCCTCCCAGACCCTCTAATACTGGCTCTTTGTCTGATGTCATATCCTAGAAAGTGTACTTTCAGGGATCTGTGGCATATTCAAAAAAGACCCGTCTTTCTAGACTGGCCTTAATTTCCACTTCAATTCATGGTTGTCAAGACCTAGTTTTAGAGCACTTTCGTTCATAAACTGAAACTTCAGGCTGCCCTAGAGTTCTGCAGGAGCCAGGGTCGTGGTATAAAAACTAATCTTTCAGCTCTATATTGGCATGTTTTGAGTCTTCCTTGATCTAGTGAACATATTTAGAAAGGTCAGTGATATTGGTGGGCAGAGCTAAAAGGTACTTTTAGAAACGGGGAGATGTGTGCATTCAGTAAAGAGTCCAAGTGAGGGAGTATTGGTAAAGAATAGAATGGTTGGTTTGTACCACTGATAAAATTACTTCACATACGATGGCTTTTGAAGTCTCATCGGAATCTGGAAAACGAATGCCTTCTAGTGTCATTCCAGCCCATATGCTGCCTCACTGAGGATTTTTTTAATTTAAAAGAGGACGATCTTGAATAATTTTAAAGGAAAAACTTAGCACTTCTCCCTTCCCCTAGCCTCACCCGAGTTAACCTGAGGACAGAGTGCGTTCATGTAATTACAGACACTTTCTTGGCCAGCCTTCTCTACTTTAAAACATGTCCGTGTACCAACAACAGGATGTCTGTGGAACCTCATCTGTTTCTTGGCTGAATAATGAGCACCGAGTGAGAACTGTATATATTCAGTGCACATTCTTTTACATCCATTGAGCTCGATTTATCTTCAACCGCATTTTGGAAATAAATCACTTTACAAAACTGCATTTGCAAAAATGGCCATTCTGAGTGAGGCATATACATTTAATTTTTTCTGAATCCTGACCTATGAATCAGAAGCCCTGAATCCAGTCTCAGTGTTCCTGGTGAGTAGCTAAAGTCACTTCTCTGTACACCTTTGCCCTTCTCCTGACTGTAAGTGTCCAGCAAACAGCAAGCAGTACCTAAACACACCCCATGAAAGGTTTGTCAAACAGTATCTGAATAACATCACGTTCTTCAGATGAGTCACGGAGTGATACGGTCTGGTTTTGTACTCTCACCTGCAGGAGGCTGTGAGTCCATCTGGTTTACCCCCCACGAGTCCTGCTCCCCATTTAGTACATCTTTAGTTCCTTGTATAATTTCTGGCATACTGTATGTAGGTGCTTAATTAATAATATTGTTGAATGAATAAAGGACAAATGAACTTTGTCACATGCCTAAGGAAACTGAACCTCGAAATTGTATGAGTTGGTTCTACCAGGGCATTTTTTTGGTTTTAGGAAAGGAAAGTAGGGAGGAATCTGTGGCCTTTGTGTGTGAAGCAAAATATGCCTTTCCCTCCATGACCCAGGAAACCAAGGTCCTCCTTGTCAGAAGTTCACCTCGGGGTGTGGTTTTGTCGTTATTCAGGTCCTCTGACTTTCCTGTAGCTTTTTAAAAAATAAAACCATAAATGCAAATAATTTGTAAGATTTTACATACTCATTTAGGCTTTCTTTTGTAGAAATCTACTAAATATCATAATTTGTGAAGGCATATGAAAATACTAAAATGACACTCTATTTGAATGATGATTTTTTAGGGGTCCTATTTTCCTAATCTGAATTGTGAGAGAGATATCATCTCTCCCTGCAATTAAAACCAATCAAACTATGATTGATGGACTTACTGCATATATGCTCGCCTATGGTATGTTGCTAGAGAAAATACACATTTTGATAATGTGCCGTACACAAATGTTAACTTCCCTCTTAGATTACATTTTGGACACCTTCCCTTTTAGGTATATTTAATATAAATATGTGACCCACAATTTTGTCCCTGGAAATAATTATTTCTTCCCTAAAGTTTACTTCTATTTTCTAGGAATGGAAAGGTCCCAAAGAGTGGAGTAGTTAAGAGGTTGCACAGGGTTGTTCAGACATGGCTGGAACCCCACAAAACTGCAGAGAATTAGCATTGCTTGACCTTGGAGGGAATTTGCAGCTGTACAGCGATGCATGCCCTGTCTTTCTTTTATTCCACTGATGTACATGGATCATGTGGACAGGAGGGAAGAATATTAAAGCTCTGGAGTCACCAGATCCCAGCTCCCTGCACCTGGCTGGTTACTAAATCCTTTCTGGACTGTTCCGCCATCTGAAAAGTGAGGTTAATAACCCACTCAGAACAGTCTTACAGATATTGGATAAATGAACATATAACTGTTGTAGGTCTTGTGTTGGGGGCACATGGTCCTGCATATCGCTAGGCAGTACTGGCAGGGGTGGGACGCAAGAAGAGGTTTGTGACTCATGAACTCAAATTGTTTTCAAGATCTGTTAGGAAAAAAAGCTTATATTCTTGAATCAATTACAGAGCAACATTAAAAAGTAAAGTTTCCAACACTTGAAAGGACAGTTAACATGTGCCCAGGACAGTTCAAAGCACTTTGCAACTATTTTCCCATTTAATCTTCACAACAATCCTGTGAAGAAGATGTGATCATTATTCCCATTTTACAGATGAAGAAACTGAGGTAAAGATGGATTTTTTGATCATTTACCCGAGGCCATAAAGCCAGTATTTGGGAGAGCTGGAAGTTGAATCTCAACATTGTGACTTTAAGCCTGTCCTCTTCACTTGTATTTATGGGGCCAAATTTAATAGGGGACAAAACATAAGGATGACAAATTAAGGAGGAGAGGAGGACAGGTTGACGAGAGTAATCTTTGTCATAAAAGAGAGAGTGCTTGAGGGTCAGCAGACTAGGTGAAGAAGGTGGGTAATATATTGCATTTCATCAAATCTAAGATGCCCTTGAGCACGAGATTGCCAGTAAGTGCCACTCAGAGTGAAGAATTGACTTCCAGTTTGACTATTATACAGTATTGTTTTCAATTAGAATTTTTATTTTCAACTTATTGTCAAAGCCATCTTAGACTTATTTATACACAGACATTTATGATTTATCACTCAGACATACATAACCGTAAAGTACAGCTAAGAGCGCAGGAGACAATCCATGTGTTCCTGGCAAAGGCTTCCGAATCACTTTGACTCAGGTTGCTCATGTCCCTATTGCCCTCACAGTGTCACCATCTGGCCAGCAGGAGTGTTGCTAACACTGCAGTTCTACAAGGACCTGGCTCATCTCTGGACTTCCTGCAAACCATTCT